CCGACACCCGTTGTTGACGTGTAGCCGCCTATGAGGCTCTCCTTGGTTTGTTTTCTACCACACTCAGAGTAGGACAAAACAAGCTACAAAAGTCGTCAGTTTTCACGTGGAGTCGATACGTACCCTGTTGCACGTTGCTTGTTGGTAGTAGCGTAGGCAACGGTGGCGTTATAGCATGCCAATGGGGCGGGGGCGGGCGCCTGGGGGCGTTTGACCGAAAACCGGGGATGTCGTGATTCTGTCCCCGGGTGACCTCCGTTTTTTTTTTTTGCGATAAATGTTTCTCATTCATGTCTGAACGCTCCCTCCAAATTTCATGTCATGGGGATGTATGATCAGTCCAGAATAGACTATCCAGGGTTAGTGATGTACGGGGCTGATTATTGCCGTAGCGGCACGCAATATACCGAAAATATACCCATTTTTGAACAACTAATTTTTTACCGTAACACCTCTTTTCGGTGTGATTTTTTTTTTCGTGGTCGGCTATTGACAGGAGCAACCCGTTCATGCCCCAAACCGGTTATTTTTATTCGTTTTCGATGCACATACCACGCCGTACAGGCAAACGGAGGCAAATCCCGCCCTCCACATCTGCGTCAACAACCCGGAAATATTCAATTTTCATCCTCTGGTGGCACCGACAAAAAAAAAAAACTTGATTTTTCCTTACGACAATTGTGTTGGGCGCATGTGTGCCAAATCTTGGATCTTGAAACGGTTCCAAACCCCCGCAATCAACCAATCGTCAAAATGGTTGTTGATACCCCCGGGCCGTTTTACCCTCAATACTCCAACTTCAACCAAACGGAAAAAGCTGTGCCTCGTCACTACATGTAACGACGATTTTTTTTTTTTGGGAAAGATAGGTGGTGATGTTAGCTATCTTTCGATACCTTAATATCTTCGTAGTTGGTTTTACTGTCGAAGAACGAGCTTTTGGCGCGGGAGGTGGCTTAGGTGGTTGTTAATACCCGCCGCTACTCTAAATATGATGAGGCCGGGATAACAGAATCCCAGTGAGGTATCGACCGCGGTTGCCGACGGTGTGGAAAATCGATGGCGGCAGTAACAAGCTTGATACACGCTGCTAGACTGAACCACGCACAACAAGGTACGCCGTAGACCTTCGATTCTGGCCGTATCGTTGGGAGTGGCAGTACATCCCTGTGTGCAGCGCGGGAGCTCCCCTTGCGAAGGAGATTTACGCCTCATGCGGAAGTTGGCCTTTCGACCCGCTCACCCGCTCACACTGTTGTCGCTCAGGCTGCAGATAACTAACCGAAGACCAATTTAAGAAACATTTTGACCTTTCTTGTTTCTTGTTCTCTACAGCCTCTAGTCTGTCTCGCGCCTTTTTCTGTCTCCTCTAGACTATGCTCTTCATCGATCCTTGTTTGTGCAATCAACTTGATGCCTTAGACTAAACCATTTGCGCAAACACGTCGAATAACTTGGGTTGTCTTTCAAGGTCCCCTTCATAGTCACTATTCGAAGTTTCCGCGTGCGCCGTACGGTCTTGACTCGCCAACTCGAAAGAAACCATCAACTTGAACGATAAGGACTCCTCGATAGGTGAGGTCATCGCGATCCACGCCCCCCCGCCGCCGCCCTCTTTTAGAAGAGGACAAATGCCAGTCGGGCGGAGATGAAGAACGTAGGTGCCCGTCACCCCGGTGCAATGTTGGGTGAGTGACAGGGTACGCGCGTGCTCCGTCGAAACCGCGCTGTGGGGATTTGTGGTCTGTGTTACCGGGTTTTTTTGTCACTCTCACAAAAACAAACGTTGAAGCTTCTCGAAATCACCAAGAAGCCGGTGTGAGACGCCCGAGCAGACTTAGCGTTGTACCAAGCACCTACAGGGAATCGTGTATTTTACTTTTCAAGATCCAAGTTTTGTCTCTTGAAAAAGCTGCCTGCAGCGGAGGTGCGTGTCTGCAATCAACGCTAGCCGTTTCCGCCGAGTCCAAGGCGGGCAATATAGAAGGCCGGGGCTCTCTGCACCCGGTTTCGTTTTTCTCCGGACACAAGCGCGTTGCAAAAAAACGTCAAACTTTTCTACACTCCAGCGGGAGGCAAGGACATACTCGTAGGAAATAACGGTGATAAAGACATCAACAGTTCCCGGAACATGTCCCAGAAAAATATGTAGCTACATTCACCAACCAACGGGACTTGACGGGAAAAATGAATAAACGCTGCTGCTGAAACCATCTTGTCTCCATGAACAAAGCAACGGCGACACCACCATATTTCAAACTCGGAAACCGGTGAATCACCGATCAAACAACTAGTCTAAGCTGTTCTATCCACAACACAGAGAGACACCGGCCCATCACACCTTTGCGCAAGCAACAAGGCTTCTATCCAGGCGCGCATGCTCCCTCGCATACAAAAAAAAAGGAAGTTCCCATAGTTCGGGAACTATCTTAATCTTGTCCGCCATTCGATGTGATCACGTTCTAATAGTTCAACCTGAGAGTTGATCGTAGGATGCGCCTTCGGAACGACACAGGGAGAGGCAACCAAATGGGAGGAAATTGGAAGTCGGTAAAACAAGGCCCCGGCATGGGGGCCTTTGTCCGCCGGGTGGCGATGGGTGGATGCCATGAATGTACATGGCAAGGGGCACCTATAATGACTCTGCGGCATGTTCATGTACAATCCAAAGGATGTAAGCTGCTGCAGCAGAGAACACGAAAAAAAAAAACATGGTGAAGAAGGTTTCGTCAGTATAGAATGTATGCGGTAGAACATTGCACGCAGACAAACGTGAAGGGGATGGAAGACAGTTATGTCGAAAGTTGTACCAACTCCATCCAGTTGAAGGCCAGGGTCAATAGGCCCGGGCTTAATAATCATCACTACTTGCACATATATATTCCAAACATGCGTAGGTGGGGACGATTCTTCGTCGGTACCATGCGTTTGCTCTCTTTGTTTTTCTCTCGTTCCTCTCGCTGTTGCTCTGCACACGTTCTGCCTGGAAGTGCATGCGAGCTTCGGAGGAACAGCTGTTGCCCCGTGTTCGATGGCATTGACCTGCCTACAGTACGGCGCACAGCCCTCACAAGCCAGAGTCGCTCGGCAATAAAGGAAGGGGTCATCAACCATGTGTGTAACGACGTCCGCAGACAACCCACCGTACCAGATTTCGCTGTAGTCACGGAAACATCAAACACATGTACTTCCGCACACCAACCAAGCCTCCTAGTTGACGCCATCCACGTGTTGTGTGCTGAAAGGCGCCATCATCACCCGTCAGGTGTGTTTATTTACTCTCTCTCTCGCGCACTCCGTGTTTTTCACATACATGGTGCAGACCAACCCCGATTGCGGGGGGGGGGATACTCTCGACGGAAACCAATTTTCCACACACACCCATAGACATGCAAAGATCCGCACACCACTGGTGTTTGAAGCTTCAAATTTGGTCTAGATTTTCTTGGGGACAGAAACACCATTGCGTCAGGATTGGGTCGCGTTGCTACGCTTCGGCCTCGCGCGTCGACTCCGATCTCGCGGCAGGGAAATCGAGCCGGGAGGACTTTTGTCGTTTCCACCGAGAAACGGGGAAAGTGAGGCAGGGTTCCCGGGCCCGCGTTGTGAGAGGCCAACGTCCATCTCTTCATCTCAGAAACCCCAGCCACCTCGGTTGCACGTGAGTGTTCAGTAAGCCAATATGGTGCAACAACCAACGAGGCGGAGGAGCGGCTACCCTAAAGCCTACCCTAAAGCGTAGGAGATGTCTGAGACAGGCCAACTCCCAGTAACAAACAACAAGCAAATACAGAAAAAATCAAGACAAAAATGTCTCGTCCCGGGCAAGATAGGAACTCACGAATGGGTACAGGAGGCAGAGGGTCGACTATTCACCGAAAACAACAAACTCACCATCGCACCTCGCATGCACCTTCCAGGGACACGCGGCCCTCAGATCCCTGCAACCCCGCTCTGGTGTTCATCGTCCAAAGCTTTAGCCACCATGACATTGCAGGCGCGTTCCACCTGGCCCGGGCGCCAGGGCTTCAGGATGACTTCGTCCCCTCCCGCGTCTTGGAACGAATTTCGTACACCTTCTGTAACATCCGCGGTGCAGCCGCATATGGTGACCCTAGGCCAACCGTTGGCGGCCTCGAGCACCCTGATCCTCCTTGTGCACTCGATCCCGTCAAGGTTTGGCAGGTGAAAGTCCATGAAAATTCCCGCAAGAACCAAGCCCCCCGATCCACCTACACGAGCGTGTCGCGCCGCCGTTTGCACGTCCAAGGCCATCAAGCCGTCGGTGGCGGATAAAACCTGCACATCGGCGCCGCTTCCCCTGAAATGCCGCCGAATCTTGTGCTCAATGAGCTTCACGTTCACTTTGTGGTCGTCTACGACAACCAGTGCAATCTTGCGGGATCCGATGTTGTGGCAGAAGGGGGTCGACGTCGTCTTCGTCACTGCCTTTTCGGTGTCGTCACCAACATCGTCCACCGCTCCTTCCTCTTCCACCGAGCACAGGGGTAGTACCACGGAAAACAGCGTGCCCCCACTTTTGCCTTCCTCGGCAAACGTGGAAGCGATCCCGAGAGCACCGAACATCGCCTCCACATGCGCTTTACAGATGTGGAGGCCCAAGCCAGTGCCAGCGTACGACTTTTGGACCCCATGCGATACCTGTTTGTAAGCTGCTACGAGATGCGGGAGGTCCGCCGGCAGAACACCAACCCCGGAATCTTCTACACAGTAGACATGCCACCTTGCAGCCCGAGATGTTCCCTCAGTAGCTGAGTCTGTCATGTCGCTTGTGGGGCTCCCTATCCACGTGCTGGCCTCGAAACGATTGGTCTCCTTGGTCCACCAATCAGTGGCATCTTGCAGGGAATCGAAAACGCGATGGGATGCAGCCACCTTTCCTTCCCTGGGGGTGAACTTGATTGCGTTGTTCACCAGGTTTTGCACAACGGTCTTGACGCGTCGCATGTCCCCGACTACCTCGAACGCATCGTCCGGTGGTCCGGTCTCTGCTGTGAGCCCAACCGACTCGGTGATGGCGAATGGTTTCATGGCATCCACCGCCAGAAGGATTGGGCTGGACGCGGCGAAACGGCGGCGAGCCACCTCCGTGTTGTTGCGATTTTTCGCGATGTCGAGAATATCGTCGAGCGTGGATAGCATCGACTTTCCGCAACGTACAGCGGAGTGAATGGTTCCAAGTTGTTCTTCCGCATCCATGGTTCCGTGGCCCTCCTCCAACATCTCGAGCGAGCCCATCACACCGTGGAACGGGGTACGAAGCTCATGAGAGACGTGTGCAAACGTTTCTTGCTGGGCGGCAGGCAGAGCATCCGCGTATATCTTCGAGGAGAATCCGCGGCGCACCATGTTGAGGAGGTCCGTTGTCGCCTGCGACCACAACTTGAACGGCACCGCCGGTGTTCCCATGAACTGTTGGAAGGATGCTCTGGGTCCCACTATTGCCCCGTCATGCATTGACGCGTCAGGGTTGCCGGCCCACTTGATCTGGTCGGCGATTCTCCCCCGCAGAAAAACGACCAGGAAGGTGTTTACAGAGAAAAAGGCGACGCCCTTTGCCTCCAGTGATCGAAAGAACAAGGTTTCGCCCGGCCCATCCCCGTTGAGAAGTTCAATGCACTCACTCAGGGTCAGGGAGATGTCCTTCTTCCCATAGACGGTGGTGGATCGGGAGTGCTCGTACAGGACAATGGTGTCGACCTCCAGGATATCTCGCAGTGCCTGATGCTCCATAGAAAGGAAGTCATTTACCCTGGGGTAGTCCTTGAGTCTTCCAAGCATGCGCGACAAGGCGAGAGCAGTCGTCGCGATCTCCTGCCGCTCGTAGTGCATGATGAGCGCACCAGTTATCGCCACCGTAGTTTCGGCAAGTATTCGCTCTTCGCATGACGGATGCACGGCCCTTGTGTAGGCGTGAAAATTGATGTTCCCCCACAGCTCGCCTCCTACAGTGATGGCCACGGCCATCGAAGCCCTCACTCCCATGTTGCGGAGGTATTGCTCGTGACATGGCGATGGAGCCCTTAAAGCACTCCTGGATAGATCGAGAGGGGTCGTGGCTCGCTCGGGAATGGAGCTTATGGCTACCCTCTGTCCGGAGGTGTCCGCGATGAAAGTCACGCCCTTTAGCTTGAGCAACCTCCGCGCGATCGGAGGAATATCCGACGCTGGGAAGTGACAGCCCAAAAATGAGGATTCAACTTGAAAACCCCGCTTGATGCATTCATGAATGACCTCGCCGTGGCCATCTGGGGCGAAACGGTACACTATAACCCTTTCGTATGCAGGCATATTCTCCGCGAGCGCGTCACACAGGGCCGCCGTCGATACCAAAGAGTTTGACCCAACGGGAATACACCCCATGAGATCCGTCATCTGCAGCAGCCCGGGCGTATGGTGGGCTCGGGCGCTGTGAGGCCCATGCTTCCGCTCCACTTCCACCAGATACACCCCCGGGTCGCTGCCTGTCAATGTGAAGGTAAAGGCTGCTTTGGTCGGATCTTCTTCCTCTCCTGGCACGAGCCCGGCGTGTGCAGCTGCTGGGCACGAGTAGACGTCGGCCGTGGTCCTGTTGACCTTAGGGGAGATGCGGTCATTGCGGGGTTGACTGGCTTGCGTGTAGCGCGTGACAAGAGACCGCACAGTTTGCACGCATTCTTCGCGCAACATGTCGCCTAAATCCTTGCCTAGAATGTCGGACTCGGAGCTGCCTTGGACCCATGGGGCCTCCATGATGTTTTGGCTTACGGTCACAATTCGCAGTCCCGAAGGGTACCCCGTGGTGGTTTCTTGGACTGCGAACAGGTAGCCACAGCCCTGGATGTGCCCAATCTGGGCGAGTCTCTCGGGATCTCCACTGCAGCTGTCGCTCATGTTTGAGTTCGTTGTGGTTGGGTGGATGTGTATGTGACAACCAGACGGAGAAGCGTTGCCAAGCCGAGGTTAAGCCGCACCTACTGCCGGAACCTTATACGTACGTACGTTCGAACTTCTGTTAAGCGGGACAATAAAATACGAATGAATGCCTCCAGAACTTGCCATCAGATGAGTTCTACGTAGAGTCTTAGAACCGCATATGACCAGCGTCACAGCGTTTCCAGCTGAGCGGAGCGAGAGGCGAGCACAGCGAGACTGGCGGAACGCCCAGAGGCGCCCGGCCGGACGCCGGAGAGGGCGACAGCTCGGCCCACAGAGGTCAGGTCCACCAGCCTGAAACTCTTGGATTCTGCGGGTGACATGCAGTACGTGAGGAGAGTACATGTGTCAATGTCATTAGTTTGTAGATACATTTGGCCCTGCGGTATGCAGCGTCAGATCGCCGTCGCTCTTCTTGCGCTTTACAGAGTAGTCTACTGCTGTTGTGCTGTTGTAGTCAAAATTGGGCCGCATTTCCTTGCTGTGTTGAAATGTATGTGATCTTTTGATACTGCTGTGGTTCTTTAGTTGCGGACCTCCAGGTAGGTCTGTCTGCTGCTATCTCCTCGTTCCCTATTCTCGTACGCCACAGCTGTGTCCACGCTGCACCAGTGGCCACACGGATTTCATATTCGCTGATGAAAAATATAAAAGGCTTGCAAAATAGGTGGGAAATGCAGCAGCTGGATGTGCTTTCGCTGCTGTAAATATAAAAAACTTCCATAAAAGGCAGCAGCTGGGTGAGCTTGGCTAGAAGGGCGTGCGAGAGAGAGGATTGAGGGCGCGTAGGCGACGACGTTCTCTAGACTTCTCTACCGTAGAAAATGTAGTCTACACACAGGGCTGCGTACAGTCGACCCGCACATGGTTAAAGAAGGCGCGTAGGCGACGACGTTCTCTAGACTCTTCTACCGTCTTTAGATAATGTAGTCTACACACACAGAGGGCTGCGTACAGTCGACCCGCACATGGTTTTCCCCCCCAAAACAAGCGTCCCTAAAGGTGGGGTTGCTTCCTTATACCCCTTACGTGACTGAGGTCGTCTGAACTTCATTTTTTTCCCGCAAATGGCTCTCGTGGTCCAAGAACTTACATGCACACCTGTACACACGCAAATCACGGCGGCAAGGATGGTGCAAGAGCGAGTCCATGTGTGGGGCTTACAGGGACGGGGGCACGGGTATATGTAAGGCTGATGAACAGGAGTAGCTATTATTATATTATTATGCTGGTGTACTGATCGGGAGAGAAAGAGAAATTTACACCAGTAGTCCAGTCTTGCGAACATGTGCATGCCGTCTCAGACAGCAACCGTCCGCACAGAGGATGTACCTGTGCAAGCAACACCTGCTGGCACATCTTCTCTCCCTCATCCCTTCACAGAGTAGTCTATACGGCAAGCGCATATGCTAGCAGCGCTAGATAGATGCGAAGATGCTGACCGGAAACCGCCTCACAGAAGCGCCAGATCGATGGAAAAGTAACGGCCCTCTCAGCAAATCGGACCGTCATCCACTTTCGCGCAAAATGCATGAAAATCGCGATACATTTTACACGTGTGCACTTACTTCGCCACCTCATGTACTGCTTAGCCGGCAGTGGAATAAGGAGGAGAGTCCAGGTAGAAATATAGTTTATTTTGTGAAATAAATAAAAAGAAAAACGGGCGTTAAGCGTCGCATCGAGGTACACCAGTGCGTGCGTAGAACTCTCCTGGAGACCAAAAGCTGCCCTGAAGGTTTTTCCCTCCACATATATCCAGTCGGGTAAGGTACGTTTCGCCTGTACAGTCATAGCAACCTGTGTAGACATCGCGTAGGACCATCAAACGGTCTCGCACTCTCTAGAAGGCAGGTGCCAACATCCGATAGCTGTCACATATATATCTCCTTTGTATTGCCTTCGGCCTCTGTGCTGTGTTTCTTTTTTTTTCATGACCTCCCTGCCTACTCTGCTGTGTTGGGTACCTTGATCTCGCTTTGCTGTTGCCTTTGTTTTTGTACGTCTGGCTGTCTGCCCATCTGCCGCCTCTTTGTCCTGTTTGCTCCGTTACTCCCATGCCCTGGTGCGTAGTGCCTGGTGCTGAAACGTCACCCTTTGATTTTTTCTTTGGGCGGGTGTGGGACGCGTCCTCCTTTCTTTTTGTTTTTGTTTTATTTTGATCGGTTTCCGAGGGCTCTTTTCTCGAACGGTCGGTGCGGAACCTGTTATTTTCTTTCTATCATTTTGTTTTCTTTTTCCGAGTGGTTTGTACCCTATTTTTGTTTTGTTTCCCCGCGGCGTCGTATGTGCCGGGTTTTGAGACCACGGGCTCCCCATTTTTGGTGGACTATAGAGCTAATGTGAGAAACAGCAACAACAATAACATATAGTCCCTGGTGCTGGTACGTTAGCCTTTGATTTTTTCTTTAGGCGGATGTGGGAAGCGTCCTCCTTTCTTTTTGTTTTTGTTTTATTTTGATCGGTTTCCGAGGGCTCTTTTCTCGAACGGTCGGTGCGATACCTGTTCTTTTCTTTCTATCATTTTGTTTAATTTTTCCGAGTGGTTTTTACCCTATTTTTGTTTTGTTTCCCGGCGGCGTCGTATGTGCCGGGTTTTGAGACCACGGGCTCCCCATTTTTGGTGGACTACAGAGCTAATGTGAGAAACAACAACAACAACAACAACAACAACAACAACAACAACAACAACAACAACAACATAGCATCCATAGCAAGCTCGATATCAGGGTACCAGGTTCAGCGTTGACAGTGGTTTGCACTTGGGAGGCAATGGCAAGGGTATGGGTCAATATTTCGCCTCAGGGCGGTGTTGATGAGTGATGAACCACAAACATCTGGTTTTAGGTGGGGGCAACCGCCGAGGAAGAGGCGTTTGCCCCCAGGTGATAGGGGACATGTACCCAAGACCCATCCAGCAGGCTGAGTCGGGAGACATACTGGTCTGTCTGATACCCGATCATGCCAGCCTACGCCCTCCGGATACTCGCGACCATAGTGAGGTATCCATCATCGTGCTTCGAGAACCGGTGGGAACGACCGACCGTAACAATTTCTCGAAGTTTCCCAAGTATGCCATAAGATCTTGTCGTCTAGGCTCAAAGGTTGTCTCCAGCCTACCACCTTGAAGGGTTGGGACTCCTAGATAGACTGCTTCTGTTTACACTACCATCACCACCACCCCCTCCCGTAGGACGAAGACTAATGTCAGATTCTAAAAGGCGCGGAAGGTGCCGACGCACGCCAAGACGGAGGACGAAGGCGTTTACGCTCGAGAACCGCACTGTGATGGTGTCGTTCTTTACTGCCGTTTTTGTTGTGCCCCTTTCTTTCATGAAACGTCAAACAGAAGCATAGCGGTCCTTCTTTCCCCCTCAACGATTCTTCCACCTGTTAAATCAGCATGGAGGTCTCTTGGAAACGTGACGCCATCCTCGCGTGATAATTATTTCGCAGAAAATAATGTAGCAATAAGAATCAAGGGAATTTCTCGTTGCTGTTGTTGTGGTTGTGTAGACGATACGGGTTTCGTTTAGAAAGTCACTGGGCAAGTATGGTAGATTAAATATATGTACTTACGCCGCACCCGCTTCTCTGCCTGTTTTTCTCTCAAACATTCGTCAGAGAGATGGCATGGTGTCCAGGTCAACCAGCACTCAGCACGATGTCGTCCGAATCACTCCACTATCCCCGACCGATATTAGTCGTCGCCATCGCGGATACGCGACAAAAAGATGAGTCGTAACGTGGGAGCGGAAGGAAGTCTTGTTGTGTCAGACCACACCCCGCGAGGGACACAGTTAGAAATATTTCAGAGCAAACGTGACGAAAGTAGAGGCAACAGCTACGGAAAATAAATGAGAACAGTATAGGCCACAAAAAGGGGCATCACTGCCACATCGGAAACAACGGTCATAAGGTACGTCGCTGCTACGCCCGCCAAAGCACACCATCACTCCGACATCACCCACAGCTTAAAATGGAAGGTTTGTTTAAGGCGTAGACACAGGCACAGGCAACAAACAAACAATTCGAAGTGCCCTGCCGATGACGTTTTGCACCCGAGAAAGTATTGCGTAGTTCGGGGGCCCTCGGACGAGAAGAGGGGTAGCATATTCTACTACCCTGTTCAAGGTTTGTGTTCATACTGAGTAGTAGGGTGCCAGAGAGAGGGGAGCGCAGAGACAACGAGCAAGGTGGACTCATGGAAGGTCGGACTCATAAGAGTTTTCAAGTTCTCGCGAAGGCGGTCCGTTTCTAGTGTGTTGCCAGCCTCAAGAGCTGACAACAAGTTGAGTACTTTCTTCTCTTGCTCCTCGTCTTCTAGCTACGAGTACCCGGGGTCCTAACACGACGTTTAGTACCACTTCGGAAGTGCGTACTGCACTTACAACAAACCACTGCACATGGAAGAAAAGTGCGAGGCCCGAAATGTCTCCGACACAAGCTAGGTAACAAATCGTTGCAGTCGGCAATCAACTTTATCCTTCGCTAGAATGAGTAATCGAATGTACCCTTTGGTAGGTATGCAGGTTTATCGCCGTAACCCGGAGGACGTGGGGGGCGAAGGCCCACGTCCGCGAGCCTTGTCACATGCAAACACGAATGCATTCATGCAACGAAGGCGCGATGTACGCAGGAGAGATGTGGGCTAAGCTCGGTTCATTGTATCTAGCTCGGGCAACTGTTGGCCGCACAATTTGTATTGTCTAATCTCCCACCCCCAGCCTGCAACACACGCACATGCGTGCGAGAATTGTCATCACCGCTGTCCTTGGTCATTTCTTCGCATTCTTTTTCCCGTGGTGAAAAGAAACTCATTACGTCTCCACCCCGATCGTTCATCTTTCCACTATTTACCCCCCAATTCCCTTCAAACAAAATTGCAGATATCACGCGAACGTCGAGTTGATATCATCAGGGATTCGAACCCCAGTAACTGCCATGTCTTGTTTTCCACTTTTGTTCTCCTGCCAACGCTCATTAATTTTCGCTCTACACTCTATACTTCCTATGTTTCGCCTGGTACACACTCGCGGGCTCTTCCTAACTGTGGAGGAGATGAATTTGTTGAATTTCCCAACAAGAAAAAGAAATACAAAAAAAAATGCCAGCCGGATGAATTTCAAGCGCTTGCCACCCTCAAAAATCCGATATGCCTTAATTGCGTACTCCTTTACAGCCACGTACGGATTGCTTGACGATGCAAGCGACACGTTGGTATGAAGCTGGTGGTATCCAGCAGAGCACAGCATCGTTTCGTTGAGCGAGATCTGCGCTCTCAATTGTTGCGAGTCATCGACATGTAATTCGTTGTCAAGGACCCGGTATTGTTTTCCTACGCCAGATCGGGGCATTCGATCACATATTCCTCTTTGAGGTCGCAGCGTATCGATGCGAGACCGAGATCTCCCTACCCACTTGATCATGGCCGAAACCCAGAACTATCGTTCGCTGTCTGTGGTGCCCTGTGGCTCCGGTGATAACGGATTGAGTCATTGCAAGGGGCATTTTCCGGCCATTTTCACACCTCGGTTGTTTTCGCCATATGTCGATTCTCGATGCAACCCCGCCTGCAATGTATGCACCAACTCGATTTTGATTTTTGATTCGAACTTTCCGTTGACAAGTGTGGCCCTAAACCAATCCCGCGACGACACAAACTAAGTCAACCACCCTGTGACCCGGCTGACGGGCCGGAGTGAGTGTGGTGCCGGAATAGACGGCACGGGAGACGGGACAAACTCACACAGAGCAATCTACGCTCTCTGTTTGGTCAATGTTCAGCAACTCCGGCCCCGCTTTAGTAGCTCCCAGCCTCGCGAGCGTGATCAATGTCGGGCCGAATTCTGAAAAATATAAAAACCAATCCCGCGTTGCTCTTACTTCCCATGAGCCATCGTCGAGGTGAACCGATAACGGTAAACGTCAAATGATGAATACCTTGGTAGCCGGACCGTTCTTCACATTCTCCACCGTAAAAAAAATGTCTCTCAGGGGCGGGACCCAGTTGGGACCCGGCCCGGATAATCCGATATTACTCCGATGCTTGGTCCGTTTTCCCTGAGTTAATGTCTAAGGAGTGAAATAAGGCCAAAGGGTAGAACTCGGTAGACAATATATCACAGCAGACACAACATCTATTCACCATGCAAGCTCACTCACAGGGGGTGTCGAATAATTGAACCACGTTTCTTTCAAACAAACTTCTACACCCAGATTCTCAGCTATATTTTTCAACTTTTCCTTACTCGCGTGGAAACTTGCTTCTCGAAATCGAAAAGGATCCCCGCGATCGCGGCCTCAGTCCACTCTGCGCCATAGAAACGGGTCAGCATCCCTCTTGCAGGGTCGTTCTCTCGCCTGGACAAACCATTGGGATCGGGGCGCACGAGGATTAGCTGGAGATACCATACTCATTTCGTGCTCGCCTTTTGAGGGGTCATCGTGTTCTAACCACCCCCTACATCGCCCCCGCCTTTGACAACCAAACGGCAATCATCTGGGGAGCCGACCCTTCGTCGTGGAGGCGGGCGTTCGGTGTCTCCACCGTGTGCATGTGCTCCAAAAGCTATCCACGATAGGTGCAGTGACGCCGTGTGGCGCAAAGGATTGCATCTAGACGTGTTGGCATCTCATCTAAGACACGTAGCGAGGCGTGCACATTAAGAACGTAAACAGTACATCACAAGAGGAATGCAAAACGCTAACACGGCCTATTTGAACCCGGGTTGGGCGATTTGGGTCAGAAATTATGCGAGGGACATCTCATCAAAACATACAAAAAAACTAACAAGACACCAGGCGACGACTTCCTATTGTGTTGACCGACCTGTACTTGCTGTACTCCGCGTGGCCCGAGGAAATTTCCGCTAGTGGGCCGTCCCCCTCCACCGGCTCAGCGTCCTCAACAAGACGTAGATACTCTCGAAGATAATCCATCATAGCGTCCAGGGCTTTCTGCTCCACCGCCTGGCAGTGGCATTCGTGGTTGTGGCAAAGAGTCATGCACAGTAAAAATTGTGGCGTCCTTGGCTGTTGCAGCTGCTGTGGGGAAGCGGGCTGTTGCGATCGGGGCCCACCGGTGCTACAGTAGCAGTTGTGCTACCGAGGACGTGTAGAGGAGTAACGTCGGGTGCGGCATTTGGGGGCACAGTCACCGTACAGGGACACCAAAGAAGCCACAGAATGGCAGAGCGAAACCCATGTGCTGATAATAGCAGTCATACAAAACAACATTCGATGTATCCTAAGTTCGGAGTTTGCCGCGGATGCGAAGTATGTAGCGCCTGGTTGTCCTAGGGTTGTGCCATCTCCCCAGTACAACGAATCCTCTCACTATTTCTTGTCCTGAGTTTCAATTCAATCCCTGTCGTTGCTCTGTGTTGGGTACTTGTTCTATCCCAACCCCGCCGACATGTTCGTGGCCTAGAAGAGCACTCTGACAGCTTCCGTGGTGCTGCAAACGAACCAAGAGAACTGCATGCCTATGTTCACTTGGCGATGCCAGGCTGGGACGAGGTGCTCTCTCCTTGATGCTGGAAAGACGTCTTTAAGTTCCTACACAACGCGGCCTTCAGCGAGGAACAATGCCGGAATCTGTTCTTCGCGCGGTAGGCACATTTCATCTAACCACACTGCCGCTGTGTTTTCACATGGTAGGCATGCTTCATGCCGCTGTGTTTTCATGCATTGCTGCCCCATCACATTCAAAAACAGCAAAGGAAACCGCAGCCTTCGGTAACACAAACAAATGCAGGATGCCACTGGGAATGACACGAAGGTGATAGGCTTTGTACGATGCTGTATAAATGCATCCAAAACTCAAGCACTCGCAGATGAAGAAACGGCGCGTCAATAGCTACTGCACACCTTCCAGAGAACTTCAGCTCGTCAAACAGTTTCTCGGTGCTCTCATGCTAGCACTAGGGTGGCATCAAGCGACATCTTGGGTACATGGGTGCAAAAGTTACCGTCGACTTTGAAAGCTCGATTGCTCCCACGACGAAGAGGAATACGATTTCTGGAAAGCTCTCGACGAGACGGTTCCAACGCCGCCATGTTCGGCACCGCCACTACTTCTGCCGCGGAGGAATTGTGCGTTGACGATGGCTCCAGTGGTTGGAATAGCTTAATTTAACCACCGCTGGTGTCTCACCTCCTCCGGATCCAGCTTCGCCCAGAGGCAGTGCGGAGAGAAGAACTTTTGTGCCGCTTCGGGAAGGTCGCCCCCCCAAGGCAACGCCTTCACATGCCGCCTGAGCACCGAAAACACATCACGCCCAAAAAAACACCGACGCGCAAGAAAAACTCTAGGTCAACAGCAACGCGAAGACGGGAAGAAGATACTATCATTCTTGACACGCATTGTGTCGGCATCGATTTCGACTTCGACGATGGGACGCTTCTATCGCGACTGACTCTGCTGGTGTCAAACGCGGAATCCACGGGAAACGTTGTTTGTGCGCGAGGGGGGGCAGTTCGCAGGGTAGGGAGGAGAAAAGAGGCTGGACGTTCAGACGAAGCACACATGGACAAAAAGATTGCTCCCACGCTTGGGCTTGACCGATTCTCACAAAGCAGGGCAGGCGCCAAAAGCATGAGGTAGCAAAACAAAAGGAATGGACGAGGGCAACGAAAACTAATAATAGTACGCCGGGAGGGAAATGGTGTTTTCCATCGGATGGGATTGTTTGGAAATGGGGAGACTGGAAACAGGCCAGTGGGTTATGCGCAGTAAACGTGAAGGCGAATAACAACCACAAAAACAAGGGCAATCCCAGGCAAGCAAAGCCACTCAGGCTCTCACTTGTGGGCTTCGCGCATGGCTTCATAGGCCTTCGCGTCTAGCTGCTGAGCCGGGTGTGCAGGCTGCAGGTCGATGCAGATCAGATGCACCCCCGGAAGTGTCACGAGGTCCGCTCCGAAGATGGGCAAGTCGTAGCTGTCCAACGTGAATCCCGCGATATGATTGATGTCGTCACTTAGCGGTGTGAAGAACTAGTAATTCAGACGCTGGCTCTATTTTCATACATATATGAAGAAAAACAACAACCTTTCCGCCGGAGGAACCTGGTGCGTTCTACTGTCATCACTAGAGAACACCATGAAATGGCATCGTGCGTGCTGACATGCTCAGGTTTGCTACTGGAGCCAAAATATCGAAAGTCGCAGCAGACTCTGAAACAGTCCGAAATCTGCGCCGGAACCAAGTGTTATCCAACCTTTGCACACAGCCTTGCTCACCGCCACGGACCGTAAATCTCTGAACGGAGGGTGTCAACGGTAGCTAGTGGCATCAGCTACTGCTGCTGCAACCCGCACTTTAGGAGATTGGGGTCGGTGGTGGCGAGCACAAGCAGTACAAGACACTGGGTGTCGGTCTAATTTGCGGAGATTTGCGGAGATTGTAGGCCACTACCACCACCCTTGATATGATATCACCACCGCAGAAGCAGATTTGAGCGTACAACGCACCCACCCCGCTGCTATTGGGTGTTCTCTAATGATAATAGTACAACGCACCAGATTCACAGCAACACCGACCTGGTTTGAGCACCTACCATTTTGGCTCTTGCGACTTGAATTTAAAACGGTGTGAACGTTTATCTTGCCTTCACACGAGGAGTGTGGAGGTAGACGCTTTAAATACATGTTTTGAGCAGCCTCTACTGCCGCCCTGTGCGAGAATCAATGATTTCTGTTTTTCGCAGTGCCTTCCGACTGGTCTCAGGCATCTGTTGTGCATGTTCTGGCGCTCTTGGGTTTGTTTTCAAAAGTAGTCTACATAAAATTATTTGTGTACAACCCCTTCAATAATCTAGTGATTGAACACCTCCGCCGTAGGTTGACTAGTATTAGAGCATGGGATCAACGAGGTCTCTCTGCTGCGATCAGCCAGAGACTCACCCAGATCTATGCCTAGCACTTTCGCGTTGATTCGTCTTCAAAATATCTTCGTCTTTGCCGCATAGGGTAGTCTCGCGGGCAAGAAATTAACACTGCTGATAGTATACAACCTGAAGGCAAAAAAAACGTTTCGCCGTCGTCGGTGTGCAACGATGGGCGAGATTGACTATTTTCCTCGACCCCTTGTGTACTCCCGTGTCGTTGGCGGTCAGTTGAGAAGCAACAAAATTTGTCTCTCTCCCCCTTCAGTGTGCTTACACAGAGGCTTTCCCTGCCCCGGGAACGACTTTCTTGCGTCCCCGGTGTCGGATCCAAGAGCAGATCGAGCGGTGATGTCACCCACGTCGTACCGACATGTTTCGCGGTCAAAAACAAAACATTTCTAAACGTCGCGTATACGTACCTCGGCCAAGCCGATACTACACTCGCCGTATTGCAGGCCTGTCCGTCGTATACGTTCATTCGCACCATATACTGTAGCTAAACACCTTGTGCAGGCGGTACATAAGCCGTGGACGAGGCAGTATGTATGTATCTCGTTTGCACGAAATATGAGGGGCACGTCGCACGAATATGAGGGGCACGTTGCACTAACCTGGGGCTCGGGAACATGACGAGGTTTAGCACTTGGGTAGCCTGGTCCGTCTCCACCAAGGCTGCCCGAACCTGTCGGAACTTGCTTGACCGGAACGCTGTGATGCTTGTCTCCACGGTCTTGGTTCGAGGAACGACCGTACACACACAGCCACGTGATCAAGAAAAACATGCAGACTTAAGCATATGTCCAACCCGAGAATAAGTGCAAACAACCAAACTAGAGGGGGCACCGGGAAGCAGACACGCACGACTACCGGCTTGGTTCTAAACATCCATACTTCAACAGAACGTGCACCGGTGTACACAACGGGAAAGCACTAACGACAACAGGCTGCACACGGCTTGCTGTACACCTGATCGCCATACCTCCACGCACCTGCAAATTGCGCCCTTTTCCTACCACGGCACAGTTCCCCCCCAAGCCTTGCGGGATCGGGTAGGGTTCGAGCCCGATCTCGCTCTCGAGCAACTCCATGGCCGCGTCGTACAGCCGGCGATACGACGGCGGCGGCGGCGGTGGCGGCGGCCCCGCCTCTAATGCTGCTGCAGCCTCCGGGACATGAGCCTTACCGGAGGTTGCTTCCGCTACGGTAACTGCGGCCGGCGTTGTTGCCTCGTGGTGCCTCGCGCTGGCACCGTCCTCTTGAGCGGTGGAAGCGCCCTCCCTTGGAGCGGGAGACGCAGCGGCCGCCGCGGGGCACCGTGATCTGGAGCAGCGGCTGTTGATGATGACGCTTCGTGCGGTGGTGGTTGGTGCGGTGGAATGGAAGCGCTGCCTCGCCGGCGGAGAGGGGATAAACGCTGACGCCTGTCGTTGCGGGTATTGAAGGTCGATGTCAATCAATAGCAGGACGAAAACGTTGGCTTCTCTTCTACACGCCATCCAACCGACCTGGACCCTGCTGTTGCTATCCGTATGTACACAAGCGTGCCCACAGCAATCTAGGTATGCATACGAGATACCCGTAGCGCTCTTGACTGGACACGGGCCGGAGGGTGGCGTACAGGGGCTATGGTAGAAAGACACAGCGATAGGGCACACCCTGCGAGAAGTGGCGGACACTGGAACCTGTCAAGGTCACTTCGCATGTGTCCATGCGCACACGCCGTGTTCGGCCACGGGGGTTATGTCTTGAAGGGGCGGGGGCGGCATACTCCGCTCTACATTGTGGCGCTATGATTCAATGTTGTTGTAGTAGTTGTTACGACGGCGCCGATGTCTCAAATGTGTGCTGAACTGGGGACGGCTTGTTGCCAGACGTTCCCCATGTGACGTCCTGGGGGCGGCTTTGCTATTACAGTAGCTGACACGGACAACATATATCCGTCGCACTGCGGCTAAAACGGGAACACGCGTCTGAAGGCCGTGTACATGTGTGTTCTGTACTTAGCATCGACCACGCACATCGGCTGACGTATGAAGAGACGTCAGTCTCAGGCCTAGTATATGACGATGTGACTCGGGAGAAAACTATTGTAAACATGAAACACGACCTCTGATTGGTCGAAGACAATCAAAAGAAAAGCCGTTGGAGTTCTCTGGATTACAAGCCAGGGAATCAAAATTTGAAATCAAATTGTTCCCCGCCACAGAGCCGATTTTGATGCTGTGTCTTAGAACGCCGCATATACACTACCCTAAGTAGCGGGATAATTAAACGCGAGCTCGCTTGCTTATCAAGGCTCTCCCGGCAAGGCAGGGGGAGCGCGGAGGAGGCTGGACAATGCTGAAAGGTCCTGCTTTCCTGATTCGAGAGATAAGACTCTGCACCACCACCACAACAACCTATGAAGCATTCCCGCTGCATTTTCTAGTCCTCCTGTGTTATGCATAGGTTCCTTGCCCTGCACTGGCCTCTATCCGACTTCTCTCCAGTGTGCTTTGCTCTGCATAGCTTCAGCGCGTTCCTTCGAGTCTGCCCCCGGGTTCTGTACCACAAGCAGCACACCATGCGGAGGTCCGTGCATTTCCTTCCTCCATCTCGATGGAGGTAAACGATGGAAGAACTGGTGAATCTAAGTCCAAACTTTCTTCCACGCCACTCCCTCTGTGTGTGTCGCCCTTCACATGTCGTGTTACACAACAGCAGCAGTAAGTTTTTGTTTTTGTTGTTGTTTCTCACATTGGCTCTATAGTCCACAGAAAATAGGGAGCCCGTTGTCTCAAAACCCGGCACATACGACGCCGCGGGGAAACATAACAAAAGAAAGGTACAAACCACTCGGAAAGAGAAAACAAAATGATAGAAAAGAAAGGAGACCGCACCGACCGTTCGAGACAAGGGCCCTCGGAAACCGATCGATATAAAAAAATCAAATCAAATCAAGGAGGACGCCTCCCACACCCGCCTAAAGAAAAAATCGAAGGGTAACGTACCAGCACCAGGCACAACGCACCAGGGCATGGGAGTAACGGAGCAAACAGGACAAAGAGGCGGCAGATGGGCAGACAGCCAGACGTACAATAACAAAAGCAACAGCAAAGGCGAGATCAAGGTACCCAACATAGCAGAGTAGGCAGGGAGGACATGAAAAAAAGAAACACAGCACAGAGGCCGAAGGCTGAGTGTGTTCCGCCCACCATCCCGCCACAGCAGTTGTTCACCGAACCCGGCCATCTTGTTGCGGTGGTTGGATTCAGAGTACATGTAGTCTAGTCTACATGTACAACCAAGGTCGTGAAAGATCCGTGAAAGATATGTCTCTTGGGCTGGACCTTCTACTGCTGTAGCGGGTTCAGAGCTCCACTGGCGTTTTCTTGACAGAGAGGCAAGCCTCCTTCCGGGGAGGCGAAATCTACAGGTAGTTGTAGGTGCATTTGCTCTTCGACTTCGACCACCAGCAACAACCAAACTGACTCTCCCTCGTAGCTGCTGCTCCTGCTGCTGCTGCTGCTGCTGCTGCACGTTGCAACGAGTGGTAGAGATAGATCATCACCTGTCTTGCAGTGCAAGATAGAAGCACCGAGCACAAAATAATTGCGTATCCGCATCGACCGCCGTGCGGTGTGGCTTCCATGTCAATCGGGATGGAGAGGAGCGCGGCAAGTCGGGCAGCCGTAGTGTGCAACAACGCAAGGCGAAAACACCGCACGAGAGGAATGCGGGGGGGGACAAATATGACAAACATATCGCGGAGCCTCCATCATTGCCGCATTGCCGCATATCTGCCTGAGTCTGTGCACTCCTATCACACACTCATTCCTGACAGCTTTGGTATGGTTGCTACGGCTCTCCTGGCTGTATCAGCCGTTGCTTCCGCCGCCGCTGCTTCCAATGCTGGTGAGTAGAGGGAAAGATTTGGGGTCGGTGGCGATTATCCCAGCTTTTTATTGCGTGTCATGATGTTGCCGTGCAGCCCTGCAGAGGTATTCTGTGCATAATAAGCGAGAGTCTGCACTCGTTTTCATCCGAGAAAAGAACATCAAGTAAAGTGCTCGAATACTGCAATACTGCTGTCGGTTGCTCTGTCGCCGCAGACTCCGGGCACAGCGAGATTGGTGGGTGGTTGAGATGTAGAGTATCCAGGAGTGGACTACAGCGGTGTGGGCATGGTGGTGCGTAAGACGACGTCTTCTCTGTGCAGAAGCTTCACGCCAACCTAGAACGGTCATCCCACCGGTGCATTTCCAACCATGGCGTATGCGTGTCCGCGTGGCAAGCAGATGCCCCCTTACCTCACATGTGAGATCGTCCCACATATCCCCACAGCCATGGTGTCGAGACGAAGCCTGTGTGTAAGGTTTTGTAGCGCGAGACGTACATTTATGCGCAGTATTGGCCGTTCGTCTGTTGTGCTCCTGTGATAAAAGCGGGAAGTTTAACACCCCAACACACATTTTTTCAAACAAGATGCGCATGACGTGCACCAGCTGTGGCACTTATACTGGAAGGAAGCATTATGGAGTTCACCCGAAAGCAGAGGGGCAACAGGAGTTCGCTTTGGTGCCGCTGCTGCTGCGTGTCGCGTCGTTTCTTCTTTGAACCACTACTGCGTTACTTTTTTTTACATAACAGGCTGCCGTTTTTGATCAATTCCACCGCCGCGCTCTGTCGAAGGATTACGGCAGTAGAGACAGACTGCTATCGCTCTTTTTCTGCGGCTGCCAAGAGGATTTGCTGCTTCTAGAAGTTGGACGGAAACAGCACAAGAAGCGTTTCGCCGTGGAACATGCACTACTCATGTGCCGTACCATACGCACGAAGGCAACAGTCCCGTTTGGCTCTCAGGTGGTACGCCCAGAACGAACGCGAAATGTACCACCGACTCGCGGATCATGTTGCATAGATCCAGGGTGTAGGGAACGCATGAAGGAGTTTGGTGTGTGCACGACACCCACATGCTGGTACGATGTAGGGTGCCCCTTGGGTAGATCGAATGCAGCGGACTCCCTTCTTACATATCTTCCTCTGGATCTTCTGAAGGCATTCTCCGTGTGAAACTGCATTTTACGGCAATGTACTGCGTTATGTAGATACCTCGTAATCGAGCCCAGACAGCGAGCGGGTCAGGACGGTTGAGATTGCCATCCTCTCCACCGTATACGCGACCTCCACACCGCATTCCGTGCGTTGCACCGGCCCGACGCTTCGCCCGTCACCACAATACAGCAAGTGTGCAACGTAGACTACTAGTCGGCCTCGGCCTCATTTTGACGTTCCTATCTCGGGGCGTGTACACTGCCGCTTTGACTTGTCGTTCAACTACAACTGCTGGTGTACTGCTGTGCAGCAGGAGGCGTTGTGGCGGGGGCGGGGTTGCCTGCGTTTGCGTCCCCCTCCACGGTCGACGTCGGCCGTACCCTAGGCAGTAGGGCAACAGCAGCAGCAGCAGGGGCTGCTGGTGGCAAGACTACCTGGCGTCATGCCGAGGTATGTGCTGCGATTTTATTCACCGACATTGTTGGGCTTTCCCCCCAATTACGGGATTTCATCAATTTCCAGAGCGCATCCAAGCCATCGCTTTGCATGTTAGCGGCACTGGCCAGAGGTTTGAACATTGGTGCCCCTTGTACGTGATAAGTTGAGGAGGTCAGGCAGGGCAGCGGTCGCTTCGGGGCCGATTTTGAACGCTACATTACTTGACAACCAGCTTGTGCCAGCACCAGTGGTGGTGATATTAGGAGCGTGTCGTCGAGGGCTTTCCGTGGATATATCGGGCTCTTTCCGCACCCACTTGAGCAGTACGGATAAATCGAGCCTTGAAAGTCGGTCCAGGGGGGGGTAGCCACCTCTCCGCCTCTTGCGGAAAACCACGGTACGGTACACGGTACGGTACAGACAATCTTGGTCGTGATGCAATCGAGCTTTGAAAATCGGTCTTCATGCAGGGGGGTGGCCATCTCTCCGCCTGTTGCAGGTAGTCTATTTTACTGGCTGTGTTGTACTTCTATCTTTGATGCTTTTTCTATTTTGGCGACCTTGTTTTGGGACAGCGGTTTGTTCAAGGCACAGTCGGGCGCAAGTTTAGTCGATAAGACCCTCCCTTATCATTAGGAACGCGTTCGCGAGGATACTAAGGTACAGCAGTATATGTGAAGCATCAGTACAGAGAGGGGCCGTACATGTCCTCCAGCCCCACCCCATACCCTCGTGCTTAAAACAAAGCTTAGCTTGCTCGCAAGGCTACTGTATCCTTATGGTTTTTGCCGCTTTGAAAACCAACGATAATGTTCTCGTAAAGCTATTGCTGCTGTATCCTTACGGTATGGTTTCCGGCGTTTGAGAATGAAGCTTCATATCCTGGCATGGCAACTGCTGCTGCTGCGTCCTTATGTCGTTTGCGGCTTGCTTCCTTTCCATTCCTGCAGGACCTCTCCCGTGGGGTTGTCCGACGGCGATGGGTGTCTATGGAAAAACAACAGCAGCAGAACGGAGAGGCTGTGGTGGGGGGTGGCCGACGCTCTTTGCGTCTAATGGTTCGTAAAACATCTGTGGTCGTGGTTATCCTGGCGGTGAAATCGGTTCCGAGTTTGGTTCCACGAAGCCGGCTATTTGGCTCTTGAAGTGGGTTGTTGTTGTTTCTGTTGTTGTTGTTGCTGCTTCTGCGATGTATGCCCTTGGTTGTTTGTGGTGTCGTCGTTTTGTAGGGAATACTAGAATAGGACGTCTCGACGAGGTAGGCCATGGTGGCAAGGCAGGGGGTATCAGGACGTCTGAAGGGCGTATAGTGTCGGAATTTGGGCGTGGACAACTCTTAGGGGTTAACGTAATGTTGAAATCGTCTATTTACGTGGACGCATGGACTGAAGGAAGGTATGGTCCAGGGTGCATCTCTTTCATGGCGGTGCTATAGTTTCAACGCATGTGTTTCAAAATAAAACAAGTGAAACGTTTCTGTCGAGGCTTGTGTGCCCGAGTACAACAAACGGTTATGAAAACATCATACGCTAGGCCAAGCGACGCAAGGAATATTTCAAACAGTCTTCGAAAAACAAACGAACCGATGCATGTGCTAAATCCGAATAGTTCCAGAGTTAGCAGGAAGAAAATAAGAAAATAAGAACAAGTGCTCAACGAAAATAACACGTAAAAAGAAAGTTGTTGCGCCTCTGCGAGGAGGCAAAGAATGACGAGGCCAGTCGACGCAAAAGAAGGAAAAAAAATGTCACGTACAAAGACCAGGCAGGGGGCACTCAGCCCTTCAACGCTTACCCCAACGCCTATGCTTTATCCAGTACGTTTGCACACTTTTAAAAACCTGCGTAGTGTTGAGTAGTGGGTCCTTTTGTCAGAGGCTGCGGGGTTGAGGTTGACTCTATACCTTGATATTCGAGTGCGAAGGGCATGCTTGCCCATGTACGCAGAAGAGGGTTCTCCCTTCTACAAACACATACCAACATGATACAGTCCCCTAGATCTCCGTAGATCCGTATGTAGTGCTGAGTACACCTAAGATTACTACTGCTAACACCAATACCACTCCACCAAAGAAAACTTTTCACGCACTGGTGTTGTGCTCCCACCCAACCTCAGGCAGAGGCGACAGGTGTGGCGTTCGGTGGCGACGGTCGAGCGATGGACCGAGCGGCACAGGCTGAATCGAAGTACCGAGAGGCTTTGGAGGAGGCGTTGCGGGCGGCCAGGGAGCACGGGGACTTTTCGCCTCAGGCGGTAGCGGCTTGGGACGTTGTCGACGAGATCGAGGTGAACCATCCATGTGAATGGTTGGAAGCTAAGGTTTGCTTTGGTGAGGATAGTAAGCTTGACCTTGGTTTAGTAGGGGGTTAGGGATAGGGATAGGGATACGATTCCGCCCTCTCTATGCCATGGGTTTTTATTGAATACGCGCGAAAGGGAGGAGTAGGTAGAGGGCATCAGGCAGAGGGACCCTTCTGTGTGATCACGGCTTGGAGTAAACGGCACAACTGCCGTGAGCGCTGGTTTGAAGTCAAGACAAAAAAAAGAAGAGGAGAAAACAACGGCTGTTGAGACCTGAGGTGAGGTACTTCCCTCCCCCGTGCCTGTGCTGCCGTGGGTCGTTCAGCTGTGGCGGGTGATTTGACGCTATTGAAAAGCATTGAAGAGCAAGGTAGTCGGTTGCCCTTTGACAATGATGTGTTTCGTTGTCTGGGTGCTGACCGGACAGCACGAGTCCCTTGCACACGCATCGGTTGACCGGTTCGTTTGCGACATGACGTTGCCCCTCGAAGGCTCCCGGCAGCTTCTTCTCCGCTACAAACGTTCTGTAATGCAACAGCGTTGACGTTTCACGCACAACAACTGCAGAGTTGTTCAACCGCATGATGTAGGAATCGATTTTCTCTCTGGCAACCCCCCCCCCCCCTCCCTCATAACTATTCTTGCCAATCCTTGTCTTTGTGGAAACCCCTACGCATATGATACTACACGCGAAAAGGCGTTGTACGAAAGCCAAATTCCCCATAATTAAGCCTTTCTTCATCAACCCCGTGCTGCCCCTACCCACACGTGTTTCGCGTTTTCTTGTTCTCGTATCTCATGCTTGCCTTTCGGAACGCATGAACGCATCCCCGCTCGGAAGGCGTCGAATAACTCGATCGCGTGGAGGCCGGCCCTGGACCAGGCCTGCTCTGTAGCTGGAGAAGGGGGTGAGCCAATAATATCCTCGAATACAGCTACGCGGGCAAAGACTTGTCTGACTTTCGTTATTTCTTTACTTAGTTATTTATTTTTTATTCCTTTCTTGCTTTCTATCTTTATTTTTTTGTTTGGCCCGTCCTTCCTTCCTTCCTTCCTTCCTTCCTTCCTTCCTTCCTTCCTTCCCCTCCTTTTTTCTCTCTTTCTCTCTTTCTCTCTTTCTTTCGTTGTTGCTCGCTGTTACAATATATTAAATGTACACCGTCCTCCCTCCCTCTCTTCCTTTCTTCATTTCCTCCATTCCCTTGTTGCGGTCGACGGTTGGTGTCAGCTTCTGTTGTGGTTGGTGGTTCGGTTGGGTTACAAGTACCACTAAACAGTAACAGTTGCCTCGATGTCGGCTCTTGCTGCTCTCGATCCACCTCCTCCTTCCCTCGGATCGTCGCTGCACTGTACTGCTGTAGCAATTCACGATATGTCTTAGGCCACACGTAGAGCAACTTGATCATGGCTGCTTGTTAGCCCAGCCCAAGCTTTGTGTGCACAACGAAATCGCCCAACGATACCGTAGAGAGAGTCGCTTGAAGCTTTCTAGTCTATCCTGTTCAAGGAGAATACTCATAACTTCTCCCCGAATGCACCATCCGTACCGCTACTGTCGTCCATCCGTACCGTGCCTTTCCATGTGTGCTTGCCTGCGTTCCGTTCCTGAAATATGTAATCCACAACGGACGCTTCGTCTTGCCGACAAAGATGATATGGAGCTGTGCATGGAGTACAACAAGGACTTGGACCGCCTTAAGGAGATTTTGGAGCCATCCCACGCGGCTGAGGAGGAAGAGCAGGAGAGGTAAGTATGCATTTGATCCACACCAGCAGCAGTGTCTAGGGTGTCAGTTTCAAGTTTTAGTGTGGTGTTGTTATTTGTTGTTCCTTTCGTTGTGGTGATGGTGGCCATGTTGCTGGTGGTGGTTTGCTGTTAATGTAGCGGGCGGTGGTGGCCATGGTGATTGTTTGCTGCTGCTGCTGCTGCTGCTGCTGCTGCTGCTGCTGCTGCTGGTGGTTATGGTGCTGCTATTGTCATTGTCGCCATTGCCCTTGCCATCGCAACTCCGATATCCATTCATGTTCCGACCAATCACGATGAGGTAGAGAACACATACGATGAGACATGAATGGCATCGGTCTATGTACAGCCGGGTGCGATCTTATCGAAGTGCAAGATATCGTATCCCGATTTTAACTCCACTTCAAAAAAGGGAACGCCCGATCTGTACAAATCTGAATTGAAATGAATTCATCTGTCGTAACATTAGTCATGAAAAATCGATTGAAACACAACAAATAAAATACACAACGCACGATGCCACGAGCAGGCCGGCAGGCTTGAAAGCGCTTTTTCCATCTTTTGATCTCGATCGATACTGACGTGAGTCTTGCCCTTTGTCGCAGTCGATGCTGATCTGACCAATCAAACGCGCGCGCACACACCCATGCGAACGGCCAGATTTACAATCGAAGAGATCGTACCGGTTCCGGTGCCGAACCTCAAAACCAAATTCAAGCCTTCAGGGGTTGCCAACCTGGATATCGCTTCGGACAGCCTTGGGAAAGTTACACACTACACCAAGCTCATAGGGGAAAAAGACATCGTCTTATACGGTGATGATGCGTGGCCTTCCTTGACGGTTGAGATTGTGATGGTATCCGCCTTAACAATGATGAGTGTATACCTGATTTTTCAATTAGGATCTACCTTTGACTTGTTTTCACGGTTGAGAGTTGTGATGGTCTGCCTTGATTTGTTGTCACAATTGGAACTTGTGATGGTATCCAATTAGCAGTTACACGGTTGTTCAGCTATGTTTTTTGTTGGTGGTAACGTCGTGGTATGTGCATCGGTATTTTTGTATGCCATGATTCCATCTTAACGAAGATCAGTGAGGTTTCGGTCAATTGCCATCTCGTTCTGATTGTGTGGACACGATGGCGTATCTCCTTCATGCAAGAATGCCATCGCGTTTTGGTGAACATGACGAACAAGCTCTACGATGGACGATGAATATAGCATTCGACGTGCGTAGTTTTTCAAGAGCTATTTCATGCTGCTATGCTGATGACAATGACAAAGAATGTCCTGGCGACGTCGGTGTTACCGTACCGTATTCCGTACCGTACCATTGCAGACCACGTTCGAGGCCCCGGGAGGATGCCGGCTGCGAAGGGCTTTCTCCGAGCGGGTATGCATGTGAAGACGCGAGGGAGAAATGCTTCAAATGAAGCTCGTTCACACAACTAAACCCTGGAGTAGTTGTTCAGTTGATGCTCTAGCCTCGTGTAGAACGTTAACCTTCTGGGTCGAGCTCGGAAATTCGAGTGTTTAATACGTAAGACTATGTACTCCCAACTTTCAAGCGATTGGCGCATCGTCGTGAGTGCGCACACCAGAGAGATGGTTGGGGCTGCTGAATCCTTGTCGCGTTTCTAATTTAAGACAAGCGCTGTAGAGGGAAGTTGGTGAATTCCTCCCGTCTTTGTGGTCCCCGCTGGTTTTTGAAGCATACCCGCCATTGGGGGTACACTGGCGCCCAGAATAAGTGCGACGGGAAACAAAAAGTTCTGCCAGAGCGCCGCCTTTGGTCATGCGTTTTTCGCCTTTACACGCGCACTGCGGAAATCGTCCCTGCCATACAAGCGATGTGGTGACCAACATCGATGGCACTCTATTTTGAGGCGCTTCTTGCTATTGGTGCTGGCGGCATCTTGTCTGGATTTGAGGCGTCGACCGTTGTCAGTGCCATGCATAGCCTATCTCTTCCGGTGATTGCAGAACAACCGATGAGAATGACACGGAAGTCAGATCCTTGCAACTGATACTGTGAATAGCTGAAACTGATGACGTGAGCAGCTGTTTTTGCATAACAGGGGGGCATGGGGATTGTTCAAAGTGACCAAGCTTCCGTGAAGCTCTTGGGAAACGTTGTGATGTCTGTTGTGGGTTATGCCAGGGGGGCATGGAAGTTGTTCAAAGTGGCCACGCTTCTGTCAAGCGCTTGGGAAGCGAAGTGGTGTCGTGAGTGATGCATGGCTCATGTCGCCATCCTTTGGGAGCGTGTACGCCTCTTGAAGGCAGGCTGTAGAGTTCTTTCCGTGCCTCAGAACATGAAAAATCAAGCACGTCTCGATGACGTTTTGCTCCCCCCTCATCCTCAGCTTTTCTTGCCTGTGTCATGTTCGTGCGTTCATGGCTTTGTCGGCCCTAACTATCGCATGACCTTGTGTTCAAGCCCCAGTGAAGGTGTGCGAGAACATGAAGTGTAACGGAGTTACACGCAGCAAAACTCTCTTGCATTCCGAAGCCAAACCCAATCCCCTGCCCTAGCGTTAAATATATTCAGTGTCAATAGTCCCATGTCATAGATGTGTTGGCATCCTTTTCTTTTGTTTTTGGTCAGGGCCACGGGCGTCGCTTCATTTCAAGCCCGAGGAAGTCCGCGCCGCTGTGGTGACGTGCGGGGGACTGTGCCCAGGACTGAACAGCGTCATCCACCACCTCGTGCTCACGCTCTTCAACATCTACGGCGCCGAAAAGGTATGATGAGTGAGACTTTGCCAGAAGGGCATGAATGAGACTGACCAACAAGAGGTGAATGAGATTGCTCAAAGAGCGACGAAGAGACTAGCCGAAAAGGGATGAATGTTATTGGTCAGAAGGGGATGAGTGTGACTGCCCGAACAGGGATGACTGAGACTAGCCGCAAAGGACGAAAATGATTGGTCGAAAACGGATTAAGGACCCTGGCCGAAAGGGGATAAGACCGCCCGTGCCAGTTGCTGCACAAGAGGGCTCGCCTCTCGATATGTACAACTAACACGCTGGATGAGGTTGTCAAAAGTGTAAAAATAATGTGCCGAGGTTGTGCAGCTCGACGGCTCTTAGAGGGTACGGTAGGATCGATGAAACGTCCGAATGCTGTCGACACGTCGTTTCCACGCTCTGTTGATTTGCTTCATGGGTTAAGGACTGATCGTTTCATCATTCTTCCGAACACCCTATTCCACACCCGCGGCCCAAATGCTGACCTAAGGTATTCGGCATTGTGGGAGGATTCGCGGGATTCTGGGACGAGAACCACCCCCCTAAAGAGATGTCGGTAAAAGACGTTGAGCTCATCCAGCACGAAGGTGGATCCATTCTCGGGTGAGCGATCAATCCTACCTTCTTAGCACGCCCCAACCAAAGGCGGCGGTGCGGCCACGTCTCTTCCCTGAGCGAGCGGGACCCCCTTCGCGAGGATATTTTGATTTTTTTTTTATCTTTGAAATGCCTTTGTTGCCTGTGAGGCAGGGACGCCGTTGTTCTGTGCAGTACTTCTGTACCGCGGTATCGACCACATAGTCAGCCAACGTATACATCTGCGGGGACCCCCCCCCCCCCCCCCCCCCCCCCCCCCCCCCCCCCCCCCCCCC